TTCCACAGGGTAAGGTTCCTTGTCCTTTCTTTGGATTGGAGGAGGTAGGGTAGGAGGGTGTGTGGAGGGGATGGGAGGAGGGAAGGGAGTGGGAATTTGGACTGGTATTTTTTTAAATCTAATAAAATAAAAGAAAAAATGAGACACAGTACAGACAGTCATAGATTAAAGGAGTAAAGATAATAAAATAAATATTAAAAAGTAATAGAGTAAAAAATAAGCCACATAGGGGCTGGAGAGATGGCTCAGTGGTTAAGAGCATTGCCTGCTCTTCCAAAGGTCCTGAGTTCAATTCCTGGCAACCACATGGTGGCTCACAACCATCTGGAATGAGGTCTGGTGCCCTCTTCTGGCCTGCAGACATACACACAGACAGAATATTGTATACATAATAAATAAATAAATAAATATTTTAAAAAAAATAAGCCACATAAAGATGGAAAATATGTAGAGAGTCTCGATTGTGAATATTATTGTGTTTTCTTTGAATTTTTTGACTGTGAACTTACTTTGGGTGACTGCCTAGGCAGCAAGATGTCTCTGTCAATTCTAGAGTACTAGAAGTAGTTTACAACACACTTTCATTTCCTCAAATATGACTGGCTTACAAGTGGACTTAACCCCAAAATCTCAATGTGGCAAGACACCTTAGACTTTCTCCCAACTTTCTAACATGTGTGTAAACAGCATATATGAATAATAACCGTACTTACCATTTGTTGAATGTTTACTCTATACTCATCTTATATTAACAAATTCAGTGTCTGTGGCATCAACTAGTTGAGTCTTGACTCCAACTTTCAGATTACCTGACAACATACAAATTCAGGCAAAGTATTTTGTTTCATTGAGATTTTTTGGACATGGGTGAAACTATTTCAGATATAAGGCATAGCTAGAGTAGTTCTACATAGCAGATAAGTGGGTGGATCTCAATTCTACAAGTCAGAACAACTTTTTGGCCCATGGATTCATCTAATTGCCCAGAGTTCAATCTTAAAATGCTAAAAGCCAATTGAAGTAAGTCACTCATATGTTGTGATAAGCATTGTGACAGATGCAAAAAAAGGGAAAGAACAAGAAGAAACTGAACTTGAGGCTTCTAGCAAAAATGTGGTGGTATAAATGGTATTTGTGTCTTGTCAGTCAGTTAATAAATACTGTCTATCCTCTTTTAGGTTTTTCGGGGGAATCAGGATGCATCCACACCTATGGTAAATTCTCTAGACCCACCATTACTCACTCGATATCTTCGAATTCACCCCCAGGTCTGGGAGCACCAAATTGCTCTGAGGCTTGAGATTCTGGGATGTGAAGCCCAACAGCTGTACTGAAGTGGCTTCTGCATCCTCTGCTTGCTACCCTTTGCCTCCTTCTTCAGTTCCAGGATTGGCTTAGTCAGTGTGTTATTGCTGTGAAGACTAACCATGACCATGGCAACTCTTATCAAAGAAAGCATTTAATTGAGGCTTGCTTATAATTTCAGAGGTTTACTCCATTATCATCATGGTGGGGTGCATAATACCTTGTAGGCAGACATAGTGCTGGAGAAGTAGTGAAGAGTTGATGTGGGATTCCCTTCTGTATGCTGTGAATATGTTTTGATACCATTGGTTAATTGTTTTTTTTTTAAAGCTGTTTCAGCCTATAGCAGGGCAGAATATAGCTAGATTGCAAGAGATATAGAGTGAGAGTAGGTGGAGTCAGGGAGATGACATATAGCTGCTAAAGGAGAACGACACCCAAAAACCTTACTGGTAAACCACGAGCCTCATAGTAGAATACAAAATAATAGAAATGAGCTCATTTAAGATGTAATAAAAAGCCTGCACTAATAAACTGAGCAGTGTTTTAATTAATATAGATTCTGTGTGATTATTTTGGGCCTGGGTGGCCAGAAACAAACAAACAGCCTCTGCCTACAGAGAGTTCTACATCTGGATCCACAGACTGCAGGAAGAGAGAGAGATTGGGCCTGGAATGGACTTTTTAAACCTCAAAATTCACCCCCAGTGACACACTTTCTCCAACATGGCACAACTACTTCAACAAAACCACACCATCTAATCTTTCTTTGTATTCCCTGATGTGTTCCATTCCCTGATGACTAAGAATTCACAAATATGAGCCTATGAGGGCCATTCTTTTTAAATCACAAGGATATTCCCTCACCAATTTAATGACAGCATCCCTTCTCAGGTTACCACATTTATACTGACACACACTGTTCATGCCACCATTATTTTATTTAAAACCATATAATAGTATATGACTCTACTCTGAAACTTACCAAATTATTAATTCTACATTTTATTAAAACATGTCTCAACATTCATAATGGAAGCTATGAAGCATCACACTAAATTTTATACTTTCAGTATCAAATATACTTTATGTACTACCAAAGCCAAAAAAATCTATGACAGAATCAGAACAAGAAAAACCATTAGCTTATACCCTCTTAAATAGCTCATGACTATTACCTGTATTCAGCCATTCCTGACTCCCATATATTTAGCCTTCCTTGTTCTCTTTCCTTCATATTATACTATACTAGAATGTACATTTGTTTACATATATACATATACTATTGGCTGTAACGGCGTAAGCGAATGCAGACAGATTGTCAAAATATAGACAGCTTTAATGGAGGAATAGACTTACAGAACCACTGTTCCCGCGGAGACCAGGAAAGCAGAAGAGAGCGCTGGGAGCACGCTCACCAATTTTATAGGAGAACTTTAGCCTGAGGCGAACACGCCCCCTAAGGGGTGGGACTTATCCCTACAATTGGCTAGATTCTGCATAAAAGAGAGAATATGTAGTTTTCTCCCAACGAAATTCTTCACAGACCTTGAGAGAACAATAATCAACTTTATATGGGAAAAAAAAAACAGGATAGCCAAAATAATCCTATACAATAAAGGAACTTCTGGAGGCATTACCAACCCTGACATCAAGCTCTATTACAGAGCTACACTAATGAAAACAGCTTGGTATTGGCATAAAAAAAAGGTTGACCAATGGAATTGAATTGAAGACCCGGATATTAATCCACACACCTACGAACACCTGATTTTTGACAAAGAAGCTAAAATTATACAATGGAAGAAAGAAAGCATCTTTAACAAATGGTGCTGGCATAACTGGATGTCAACCTGTAGAAGAATAAAAATAGATCTGTATCTATTACCATACACAAAACTCAAGCCCAAATGGATTAAAGACCTCAATATAAATCTGACCACACTGAACCTGATAGAAGAGAAAGTGGGAAGTAACCTTCAATGCATGGGCACAGGAGACCACTTCCTACGTAGAACCCCAGTAGCACAGACAATAAGAGCAACAATGAATAAATGGGACCTTCTGAAACTGAGAAGCTTCTGTAAAGCAAAGGACACAGTCACCAAGACAAAGACGCAACCTATTGAATGGGAGATCTTCACCAACCCCACGTCAGAGAAATGAGTGATCTCCAAAATATATAAAGAACTCAGGAAACTAGACATTAATATTCTAAATAACCCAATTAAAAATGGGGTACAGAATTAAACAGATAATTTTCTCTTTTTTTATTGAGAATAGGAAAAAAAAGTTTCCGCCTCCTCCCAGCCTCCCATTTCCC